GTTGACCATTGCGGTCAAGCATCTTTCTGGCAGGCTGAGTGTGTTGGTGGCCACTCTCCAGGCGCCACCAGCCGGTGTTGACGGAATGGCAGCTGTGTCCCTTGATTTTCAAGGGGAATTGTCAGGCATGGGACAGACCTATTATAGACCTGTTTGCCACTTCCCTGAACAACCAGCTGCTAACCTTCGTCTCCCCAGTCCCAGACCGTAAGGCGTGGGCTGTGGACGCCCTTTCTCTGGAATAGGAAGGGACGTATGCATATGCATTCCCTCCCTTCAACCTGGTGGGCAGGGTTCTACAGAAGTTCTGGGAGCATCACTGCTCCTTACTTCTGAGAGCCCCTCTGTGGCGAGGCAAGCTTGGTTTCAGGAGCTCTTGTCGTTTCTGGTGGAGGAGCCCTTGGCTCTCCCCACCAGACCGAATCTCCTTCGCCAGCCTTGGCCCAGAACGACACACTCTTGACCAGAGATCCTCCACCTTCACGCGCTGAGGCTATCTCTGGAAGCCACGCCAAGGCAGGCTTTTCTCAAGAGGTGTCAGATTGCATTGAGCAATCAATCAGGGCTTCCTCTTCTGCCGTCTACCAGTCACGTTGGATGATCTTCTGTGATTGGTGTGTCGGCAAGGAAGCTTATTCATTCGAAGCCTCTGCATTTGATTGCGGACTTCCTAATCTCTCTGTTTAGGTACCGCTATCTGCCACCTGGCACTATTGCTGGCTATCGTACAGCTATTGCCAGAGTTCTTGCTTGTTATGGCAGGAAGGAGATCGGTTAGTCCTCCTCTCTTTCTGCCCTAATCAGAGGCTTTGCTATGAATATAGTTGTTTTTAGCGAAGAATCAGGTTCCGGGGTTCTCGCACGATCCCATCAGGATCCTGGCTGTGACTAGCTCGGAGGAGCGAGATAGGTTGCTTTGTCCTTGTCGGGCTCTTAGGTTTTATCTTGATAAAACCAGGGGGGGGGGGCGGGGCTCTCGATCCCGTCTGTTTTGCCCATTAAACAAGGGCAACGAGATATCTCCTCCCAGTCGGTTTCCAGATGGGTTTGCCAGGTGATTTAGTATGCTTACGAGCATTTTGATGATCTGGCTCGGGCGAGAGCGAAAGCGCGGTCTCACGAGGTCAGGGCCCTTGCTTCATCCTGGGCCCTTCTCTCAATGAGTCCTCCTTTCAGGAGGTCATGTCTGCAGTATTCTGGCAGGGCAGGGATACCTTAACAGATTTTTATCTGTGATCCCTAGCTTCCCACTCAGAAGGCCTGTATTCATTGGGACCTTTGGTGGTGGCATAGTCAGTGGCTGGGCCTCCTCGTTAGCCCCGGGCCATGTCTTTCCGTACGGCGGCATGTGGGTACACCTGCTCTTTCACAGAGAGGTCCCTTCCTTCACTTTAGCACTCTGTTCTCCCTCCCTACTACTTTGGTTGTGCTGAAGGTGCTGCCTGGCTTCTAGTCACCACTACGGTAAGACCAATTCGCATACTAAAGTTATGGTAATTATTACTGAAATGAAATTGAGGTTTTTTAATGTAAAACCAATTTTCATGATGTAATACTTACCATAACTTTATGGAGTCCCACCCTATCCTCCCCTCTTCCTTATCTGCCTGGCTGCCCCTCTGTGGGGTTTACGCCATAAAGGTTATTAGAGGAAGGGAGATCACTCTGCGTTCCTGCCGTGATTGCTCATGGATCGTAGGGAGGGCGGGATTGTTTTTCTTTTGAATCTTTTGTTGTTGGGATACAAAGATGGGTGTAGGTACTGTATTTGCATACTAAAGTTATGGTAAGTATTACATCATGAAAATTGGTTTTACATTAAAAAACCTCAAGTTATTGTTCCTTGTTGAAATTTCATGAACATAGAATGCTGATGAACCTCCCAGCTAATTACAGTAAGTACATTTTTAGAAACTTTACAGCCTTAATCTTGATTATTTCCTACACAATTTACAATACCAAATATTCATAAATATTCACACATACCTGGGTACATGTCCAAGTACATATAACAATTAATGCTTATAGATCTTATAAGCACATTAAATATCAGACTGAGTGAAATACAAGAGAATTTTATCCTTTTTGTCCATGAACAGGGAGGGTGAATTTAACACCAGGGGAAAATTTTGTTAAAGATAACTATCTTATATAATCATCAGAGGGCAAAACAAAAATGAGGTGAATTCTTGCACAAAGTATAATTGTACAGAGCCAAAAATATCCTGGGGCTAAGATATCCTGGTATAAATTATATATGCTCTTACGTTCCTAACTCAATCCTCAGTACATGTTAGACAAAAATACATGTGTGTAACATGTTAAAGCAGTATTCTTTTATCTTCCAAACTCTCCATTTAACATTTACAGATCTATTTGTGTCATCATATTCATGATGAAATCCAAAATTTACAGATAGGAAAGCCTACAATATTTTTGCTTCCATGTAGCATTTATCAGTTCCATTGATGTTCTTGTTCTCAAATTCATACGTTTGATGTAGTTAAGATAATTATGGTAAGGAATAACAAGGCTGCGTGAGTGGATTATTTCTTTTCAGGAAAAAAAAATGTTTAGTATACCAAATGGAAAATTGGATGTTTAGAATTGTTTGCCCTTTAAATTATGAAAAATACTACTTTTATTGAGAATTGACAATTTATTTTGCTTAGTGACAATTTTTTTTCCCATTTCACAATATCGGTGTACTTCAGAAAGGTACTTAACATAAAGTTTACATATAAATTTCGTAATGTGACCTGTAAATGCTTATGGTATTCTTGTTTTATGTCAATTCGCCTACCAGTCTTTTCAATGAAAAAGGTGTACAATTAATGCCTAAACAAAAATGCTGACGCATATCATGAATATAGCTGTCTGAAGACCTTGTGCTAAGAAATGAATTATTCAGTAACATTTGTAATTTGTCATAGGACCATGACTAGGTAAGAATACTGGAGGGAGTATATTTGGGTTACATATACAGCTTCATAAACTAGTCAAAAAAGTTTACTCAACAAAAGCCTGATTTTCTGCGTCAGCTTGTGCTGATGTCCATCACATTTAACACTGAAATATCATTTATCATTCTCATCTTATGGTTGTTTCAGCTCCTACCAGAGTTTTAACTCTGAACTTCAAACCAACACAGTGAATGTAAACTTATGACACATCATTATTATGTCATTTCAAGCATTGTCGTAAAACCATTTTCTATGGATATTGAACTCAATAGATGTTTTCAAATTCAGGTAGAATTATTTTTTCAGTCACCTGTGTATTTAGCCATCCCTATTGATATTCTCATTAGATAATCCAGTCATTCGGCCTCATTCTCACAAGATAATCCATTCACTTTCTGTCCCAAAAGATAGTTAGGATCTTTCCATGCAAAACCTTGGGTTAAAGAATCAAGATTCTCTTCCTCAAGTAGAAAATTCTCTGTCCTACCCTTAAGGTAGGAAATGTTCCTTTTTCTACCCCTATTTTCACTTGAAAATAAATACACATGTGACATTATAACCATCGGTATAATCATTTGTATTTGATGCCCAAATGACAAGTGTTAATGAGGTCAATGATCCCAACAGACCCCGACACGTCATAATAATGACGTCATTAACAGTTACACAAACCCGAAATGTCACTTCCTTTTCTTGCAGGCTGTCTTGCCAGGATAAGGTAGAAATATATTACCCTCACTGGATGTGTTGATATTTCTGTCCGATGGGTGTAAAATCCAGTCACTGTCATTCCTAGCAGATATCTAAAATTCAGCTATGTTCACCCTGTCTTTTAGATAATCCAATCACCTTCATTAATAATCCCAGTAGATAGTTTAGTCACAAATGAGCCTAGTTCCCAAAAGACAATCCAGTCACCATCATTCTTGGTAGATATTTAAACTCTAGCTGCCACCTGTCTATTATATAATCAAGCCACCTTCATTTAATTCAATCCAGTCACCCTCCTACAGAGAAAACTAGCTATCTTCCCTCCCAGATGATAACCGTGATGCCCTTATTTCCAGTACAAGTTACCACTAGCTATAGTTATTAAGACAGCTAGTTGATACTCACTAGATAATCCAGTCACCTTTCTACCCAGAAGATGATATAGCAATCTTCTCTGTTAATAGATATTTTCATTCCTCTTAGTAAATCATTCCTCTTAGTTAATCATACATAACTTATATCCAATGGCCAAAAGCTATCATCATTTTCATTCCCAGTAGATAATCTGACAGCACCCTCATTCCCAGTAGATACTCCAGCTACACCCTCATTCCCAGTAGATACTCCAGCTACACCCTCATTTCTAGTAGATAATCCAGCTACACTCTCATTGTCTGTAGATAATCTGGCTACATCCTCATTCCCAGTAGATAATCCAGCTACACCCTCATTCCATGTAGATAACCTAGCTACACCCTGATTCCATGTAGATAACCTAGCTACACCCTCATTCCCAGTAGATAACCCAGCTTCACCTTCATTCAAATAGATAATCTAGCCACACCCTCATTCTCAGAAGATAATCCAACTATATCTTTATTCCAATAAATATCTACACTTGCAATTACACCATATATAATCTAGTCATTTTCATATTTTCAAGAGACACTAATCGTAAACCTCTAGTATTTTCATTGTTTTATAATTAGTTGTAATAAATTTCTATGAAAAAGATGTTAAAAATATTGTTAGAAGTAAACATCTTTGGGTAATCTTTCTATTGAAGTTTATATGAATTGTTAGCCTACAGGACAGATGAGGGAAAGCCTTGGGTGTTACCAGTGGTACGGAAAATGGAGGCTCAGATGGCATATAATGCCACCCTTAATTCTGGTATCCAGCTTCACCCTTATTCCCAGAAGATTATGCAGCTTAACCCTCATTTTTTGTAGATAATCCAGCTACACCCTCATTCCTAGTAGATAATTCAGCTACACATTCATTTCTAGTAGATAATCCAGCTACACCCTCATTTCTAGTAGGTAATCCAGCTACACCCTCATTCCCAGTAGCTAACCCAGCTACACCCTCATTTCTAGTAGGTAATCCAGCTAAACCCTCATTCCCAGTAGATAACCCAGCTACATCCTCATTCCTAGTAGATAAACCAGCTACAACCTTGTTCCCTGAAGAAATTATAGCTACAACACCATTCCAAGAAGAAAATCCAGCTACACTCTCATTCCTGTTAAATAATCCAGCTGCACCCTCATTCCCCAGTAAATACTCCAGCTGCACCTTCATTCCCAGCAAATAATCTAACTATATCCCCCATTCCTAGAAGATAACCTAGCTACACCATCATTCAAATAGATAATCTAGCACACCCTTATTCTCAGAATATAATACAATTGCATTCTTATTCAAATAAATAACCTGTCTACATTCTCAATTACACCATATGCAATCTAATCATATTTTCTTGTTTTCAAGAGACACTAAACGTAAACCTATAGCATTTTCATTGTTTTACAATTAGTTGTCATTAATGTCTGTGAAAAAGATGTTTAAAATATTGTCTTAAGTGAAATTTTAAAGTCATCATTATATTGAAATTTGTATGAATTATTAGCCTACAGGACAGATGAGGGAAAGCCTTGGGTGTTACCAGTGGTACGGACTGTGGAGGCTCAGATGGCCTGTGATGCCACACTTAACCATGAATACCTTCCGGTGGCAGGCCTTACTGACTTCTCTGAGAGTGCAATAAAGCTTCTTCTGGGTGGAGAAAACAATGCCATCACAGATAACAGGGTATGTACTAATCACAAGGAAATTATGTACATCCATATTTTAAAGATATAGAAATTTGATAGTGTTAAACATACTAAATCAAGTACTTCAATAGCAAGGTTTGTTTTGGTCTTTTTATTAATGGGGTCCTTTGAGATTAAATGGGGTCCCTCTGTATAGTTTGAAGGGACCTCCTGTAGATGTAATAGAAATAAACATTACTAGGAAATGGCAATAATATCAGACATGCATGAAGATTTTTTCACATATCAGAAGCACCGGAATATAAGCTGCACCATTTCTTACAATGTGGTATCTATTAGGGCTGTAACGAGTACCTGGGTCACCCATTTCGGGTCGGTTTCGATCCTGACCCGGGTTGTAAAAATAGTACCCAATTACCTGAATCAGTATTACCTAGTACTATTGGCAAGTTCACAATAAAATGTTTTCAAGTACCTCTATGTACGTGTAAGCTGTTTGTTGATAAGAAACAATGGTTAATATGCATGTAAACATATATATCTATGGTATGAATGGCTACTTAGTTGCATTGTCAGTTGACACTTTATCATGGCTGAGAAACGAGCGACAGCCTTGACCTAACAAGTGAAATTCCTCAATATTTACAAGGTATGCATACACATCCGAGATACCTTGAACAGATATATGTTTCAAGTTTTTGATTGACTTGTCTCTAATGAATATTTGGTCAGTTTCATCGTATCGTTGTCTTATGTTATCAGTTAATTCAGTAGATTTTTGGTTCTGGTCATATTTTGGAGCCATTTCCCATTTTTATATCAGTCTTTATAATGATTTCAATGAAAAATATTCTGTTTCAAAGTGTGATAGAAAAGTGGATGTATTTGATACTCATTAGTATGCATAATGGATTAGGGTGATCGGGTGGCGCAGTGGTAACCCACTCACCTTTCACCTAGTCGACCAGGGTTTGATTCCCGGAACGGACAAGAAAAAAGGTAAGGGGTCACCTGCCCGACCACGTGGGTTTTCCCCGGATACTCCGGTTTCGTCCCACAATAAGACCCCTCGCGCGCTTAAATCCGGGCCAACAAGAGTGATTAGTATAAGTTGACATAACTTGTTTTGCAATTGTTGTAAAATAAATAAAGTTTATATTATATTTACAATGCATAATGGTTCCATTGTTGTTTGCCTTGTTTGCATTCAGTAAAGTGACATTACTTGCTTTAGGTCGACCAAGATTTGCATGGCAGGTGTCATTGATGAAGCAAAAGATGTTTATCCTTCTAGAGCACCTGGTCTTATTCTCCTTGTATTTTTTTAGGTGTCTCACTGTTAAATCTTTCTCTTGTTTTTATGACATGTGTGTCCGGAGTAGTTGGTCCTTTTATTAAGGTAATTTAGGTTTGTTTTCTGTAAGTAGGCTATAACAAGTTGTATTTTGATACATTTAAGAGTAAAAAAATGAAAATAACCCAAGGGCTCATTTGTTGCTTTTATAAGTAAATGAATGTAAGTTTAAAAAGACATCTTTGAGAGGATTTTGACCTTGGTATTGATCTGTATCTGAAATGGCTGTTGGCTGGTAATGTCAATGTCATTATCAACTATTTCATTTAATTTTTTTTTTGAAATAGGTTTTAGGTACACAAGCCTTAGGAGGAACTGGAGCATTGAAACTGGCAGCTGAGTTTATGCATAGGCATCTAGGCGTGGATGTTGTGTACGTCTCTAACCCTACATGGGGTATGTACCATGGTAACAGGTAGCCACATTTACAGTAATGCAAACGTCTATTCATTTACCTCTAATACAGAAATAAAACTTCCCAGTTATGTATTTCAATTTCTAATAAAGTCGGACTCCGTGAAGCAATCTAATAATGAATGGGTCTTTTTTACAGAAACAGTTGTAATACAGTACAATGATATAGACTTTGTTGACATCTTTACAGAAACAGCTGTAATACAGTACAATGATATAGAATTGGTCGACATCTTTACAGAAACAGCTGTAATACAGCACAATGATATAGAATTGGTCGACATCTTTACAGAAACAGCTGTAATACAGTACAATGATATAGAATTGGTAGACATCTTTACAGAAACAGCTGTAATACAGCACAATGATATAGAATTGGTCGACATCTTTACAGAAACAGCTGTAATACAGCACAATGATATAGAATTGGTCGACATCTTTACAGAAACAGCTGTAATACAGTACAATGATATAGAATTGGTCGACATCTTTACAGAAACAGCTGTAATACAGTACAATGATATAGACTTTGTTGACATCTTTACAGAAACAGCTGTAATACAGTACAATGATATAGAATTGGTCGACATCTTTACAGAAACAGCTGTAATACAGTACAATGATATAGACTTTGTTGACATCTTTACAGAAACAGCTGTAATACAGTACAATGATATAGAATTGGTCGACATCTTTACAGAAACAGCTGTAATACAGCACAATGATATAGAATTGGTCGACATCTTTACAGAAACAGCTGTAATACAGTACAATGATATAGAATTGATTGACATCTTTACAGAAACAGCTATAATACAGCACAATGATATAGAATTGGTCGACATCTTTACAGAAACAGCTATAATACAGCACAATGATATAGAATTGGTCGACATCTTTACAGAAACAGCTGTAATACAGTACAATGATATAGAATTGATTGACATCTTTACAGAAACAGCTATAATACAGCACAATGATATAGAATTGGTCGACATCTTTACAGAAACAGCTGTAATACAGCACAATGATATAGAATTGGTCGACATCTTTACAGAAACAGCTGTAATACAGCACAATGATATAGAATTGGTCGACATCTTTACAGAAACAGCTGTAATACAGTACAATGATATAGAATTGATTGACATCTTTACAGAAACAGCTGTAATACAGTACAATGATATAGAATTGGTCGACATCTTTACAGAAACAGCTGTAATACAGTACAATGATATAGAATTGGTCGACATCTTTACAGAAACAGCTGTAATACAGTACAATGATATAGAATTGGTCGACATCTTTACAGAAACAGCTGTAATACAGTACAATGATATAGAATTGGTCGACATCTTTACAGAAACAGCTACAGATATGAGTTTATTATTTGGCAGACATGACATAAAAGAGTGTTTTTATATTCAATGGCGGAATATTTTTGCACTAAAAAGTACAGATGTTTCATTCCCATATCTAATGAGCAGGGATTGTGCACAAGTTTCCATAAGTTAAAGTATCCAGATCTATCTTGGGTTGATGAACTAAGTTGGTTTCGACTTAAAGATATACCTGCTTTAAAATATGATACCATATCATTCATTACAAATGAAAAATTTCAACTTTCATTCACAGGGAACCATATAGGCATCTTCAGAGATGCTGGTTTCTCAGATATCAGAAAATACCATTACTGGAAAGCAGACACCAAGTCGCTAGACTTCGATGGTATGATCACAGATTTGACAGTAAGTGATGACAGAATTACTTCCGTTCTAAATATATATGTTAGTAACAGTGAAAATTTCTAGTTCAGTGATATGATACAGAAAGCCTCATTCATAATTTGTATAAGTAATCACATGTGTTTATGAGAATGAAGTATCTACATACTGTGGTTTTAAGACAAGTTCTAACTTTTTAATACAGTAATTCATGATGATTGATTTCATTTGATTTTTTCCCCCACATTGTGATATGATACCCAGATAATGGTCCAAAGGAAGTCTTCAGATGAATAAATTCCACTTTAAGAAACAGTTTCTTTTAATCTTGTGTTTGATTTGTTGTAGAATGCTCCTGAACGAGCATGCGTCGTCCTTCATGGCTGTGCTCATAACCCCACTGGAGTCGATGCTACCCCAGAACAGTGGGTTAAGATCGCCGATGTCTGCCAGGTAACCACAATACTGATGAACAGATTTAGCGTCTAAACTGTACAATCAGGTTTCATTGTGATATCAATTACAGTATTTCCTTCACTGATAATAATCATCATACTGTAAATCACTTAGATTTTGGGAGGACTTTATTTTGTGAACTTACCTTTTCAGACATATTCGCGAATACATGATTTGCAAATTCAAAACTAGCAATGACATAAAATTTGTGAATGATTAGCAAGTAAAGACCTGGACTCTTCAAGACTCTGATATTAGTAATTAAATCAACATAAATGTCATCCAGAGTTATTTTCGTACAAATAAACACAAAAGATTTGAATTTGCGATTGACTCTCTTAACGTATTAATGCGAAAAAAAAAATCCCACACAAATACATGTGATCTACAGTATATGATACATCTGAATTCGAGAACTTAAGACATTTTTTTGAAAATGGTGACCAATATCATTATCATTATTGAATGAATATAATGTATAAAATAAGATCAGAAATGATTTCATACCGAATGAAAAAAAATTCTAAATAAAATCATAAGTTATGATCATACTGGGGTTTTATAGAACTGGAAGGTGTATTGGGGAGAAGAAATTTTCAGAAGATGATATATCTGGTATAATTTTGATTATAATAGATTTTGTAAAAAACATTCAACTTTGTGTCTAGGAATCATATTTATAAAGTTTTTAAGAATTTTTATGAATTTCATGGTGGTATCGTCTCAAAAACTCTGTCATTAGATTTACTCAAATCCATCTACTGTTTCAAATCAGGTATGTCTGAATTCAATTTCAGAAAAGTTTAATCAGATAATGCTTGAAGAAATAAAAAAAAAGTAAATTGTATCAGATTTTGAGAAATGAAACTTTAATTAAGTTAAATATACTTATGGTTTAATTGATTTTCTGTCCAACTTTGAAATTGAGCCAGCAGACAGAAAAAAATGGCATTAACTTCAACTGTTTCAGGAGAGGAATTTGACCATAGTCATCGATATTGCCTATCAAGGGTTTGCCACAGGAGACCTTGATAGCGATGCTTCAGCTGTTCGCTACATGCAGAGTCGTGGATTCGAAATGTTCATTGCACAGTCGTTCTCAAAGAACTTTGGTCTTTATAGTATGTATCAGTATTTTCAAGAGAGAAAAAAATTGACGATATCGGTTAATAAATTATTGTTAAATCAGGATTCACTGAACAGAATGTTGTTTTTGTCAGGTGTTTCAAAAATCAAGATTTACTGTGTTACAGAATATTTTTTGAGTCGGGTGTCTCATAAGTCACAATTCATTGTATTAGGGAATCGTCTTTGAGGCAGGTGCCTGAAAAGCCAGGATTCAATGTATTACAGAATGTCTAAATCAGATGCAGTACAGGATGTCAGTAAAGTCGGATTTTACTGTATAACAGGATGTCAGTAAAGTAAGATTTTACTGTATAACAGGATGTCAGTAAAGTCAGATTTTACTGTATAACAGGATGTCAGTAAAGTCAGATTTTACTGTATAACAGGATGTCAGTAAAGTAAGATTTTACTGTATAACAGAATGTCAGTAAAGTCAGATTTGACCATTTTACAGGATGTCAGTAAAGTGATGAGATCAGTATCAGTTGAATTGTGCAAGAATTATTGAACTAATCATTGAATCCTTTCATTTGATTTTGTTTTAAACAAAAGTCTCTGAATACTTTTACCATTTTCCAGACGAACGAGTTGGTAACCTTGTCACAATCACCAAGTCAGAAGAAACAAAAAGGAAAGTCAAGTCCCAAATGGACTTGATTGTCCGTACCATGTGGTCTAACCCACCTAATCACGGGGCTCGTGTCGTGTGTTCTGTCCTCCAAAATTCTGCATGCTTAAACGAATGGTATGGTTATAAGTTGGTTCATTAGATTGACTTGAGTAAAATGCAAACAGACTCCTCAATGAGTTTTCATTTCATACAGGATTTTGTGAAACAAGTCTTGGAATTTTCCAAGACGAGTTTCATGTGATATGAATACAAATATTTTTTTTCACATAACATTTTGCAGGTTTTGAATTTTAAGATGTTGAGGTAAAAAAATCAGATGGAGGCAGTCGTTTTGTTGTGCAATTTTCAATTTTTCATTCAAGATCGTTGTCCACATATCAATATTATGACATCACAATCAATTTTTGAATGGCATGATCAGTGAAAATGCTTCAGGATATACAATTGTGGTTTATGTGCAAATATATAACTTGGGAAAATTCACAGGTTAACAGGTAGATTATGCGATAAATCACCTTCGACCTTACTGAGCAAATCTTCATGTGTACATGTGTATATGACAGACATATTAATGGTATTAAAGTGACTTTCATTCTTGATAAAGTGAAGCTGTAGGACTGATTTGAATAGACCGATATTTTGCCTAAATCTTGTGTATATGGGAATGGAAGAGTGTAGGTTTAGAGAATTATCAGACTGATGTCTCTTTATAGTGCTAATCTCATATGTATGTATTTATACATGTATTTACTTGTAAACAATGTCGATAGTTTTCAAATTTATCAGTATATTTGTAGGAAGGAAGATGTGAAGAAAATGGCTAGTCGTATTTTGATGATGCGCGAGACTCTATACCAGAAGTTGGTTGCCTTGGGAACACCAGGGTCTTGGACACACATAACCACCCAACGTGGAATGTTCAGCTACACTGGACTCACAGGTATCTGCAGAGTCAGGCTCAAATTATTGTAATATTTTTAACTTCCTATTTTTTGCCAGAACTAGACAAAATTGTGGTTTGTTTTCAGAAAAATAAATCGATTTTGTTTTGTCTGCAGTGAAAAATAACTAAAGTGAGACTGTGGTCAGACATTCACAGAAATGTTTTTTTTTTCTACCTTTTTGAAACTCATTTCCAAAGATCTTACAGAAAAGTATTTCAGGTAAAACACTAGCAGTACACTAAGCTTTAAGATATGACATCATTTTCTGTATTAATTCTGATAACGTACCTTTCTGAGTAGTATCACATGATAATAGCATTTATTGTGTGATATGTACAAAGTAGTCGAAAAGTTAATGATAATTGATAACTCCCTTATATGTTTAAATAAGTAACTCCCTTATATATAAATATATAAATCAGTAACTTCCTTATATGTATAAATAAGTAACTTCCTTATATATATATATAAATCAGTAACTCCTTATATATATATATATGTATAAATCAAGTAACTTCCTTATATGTATAAATCAGTAACTCCCTTATATATATAAATAAGTAACTTCCTTATATATATATATATATATATATATATATATATTATATAAATCAGTAACTCCCTTATATATATATAAATAAGTAACTTCCTTATATATATATATAAATCAGTAAGTTTCTTATATATATAAATAAGTAACTTCCTTATATATATATAAATCAGTAACTCCCTTATATATATAAATAAGTAATTGCCTTATATATATATATATTATATAAATCAGTAACTCCCTTATATATATAAATAAGTAACTTCCTTATATATATATAAATCAGTAACTCCCTTATATATTATATAAATCAAACTATAATTGTAACTTTATTTATTGTATAAGTGTAGATTTATGATAACAGATACTACTATTAAAACGAGGATCATGCCCATCCAACTATCTACTGCTACATGATATTGAGATGGTTGTTTGTTATTTTAACAGAGTCCCAGGTTGACGTCCTTCAATCGAAGTACCGTATCTACATGCTGAAGTCTGGACGTATCAATATGTGTGGTTTGACATCAAGCAACATTGATTATGTTGCTGATGCAATTCATTCAGTCGTGTCTAAAGATTCATGCCAACAAGCAGCCCTATAAACATCACAAAGTTGGTTTTTCTAGACGATAACAATATATAATAGTACTACCCCAGTCTGATGTGTATCAATTATTTTTAATGCTTCATAGAATTTGATGATTAATGTTCTAGAATTCGGAAATATTACATTAATTTTGTTGTAGAAAATTATAGCATCTTGTTACTGATCGAAGTATTTCAGCTTTGAAAATTATTTTTCGAGGAGAGAGGTGCTCACAGATATCATAATGTTTGAATCAGGGCTATTTGTTTTTTAAACGACCACCATTTTACACTGCAGTGTATAATTATTCAGATACTGTTGTTTAAACCACACTTCAATTTTTTTTTCAATGGAAATCACCCATTCATGTGATTATGACTCAGATTGATTTGAGTAATATGATTATGCTCCAATAATAAAATGCACATGTATAATTGGAGTCGAGTTCCAATGGGGTGACGGCAATTAGATACGATGATATGGATTATCATATTGGCCAATTTATCATGTTTACTCAAGATTTCGGAGAGAGGTTTGTAAGAGAAGATTTTATGTCATATGTGTCCAAGAAAAATAATAAAATGCAATATGCAGAAACAACTTAATTTGCAGTGGTGTGTCGTAGATCTAGACACTTTCATTCAGCAGTTGGTCTAAAGTCCTGTTTTTGACTTCCTTCAATGGACTTCTTCATTTAGGAAATCATTATACAGCTGTGTTTGCCAATCAGAAACATGATAAAAAATGACATCATATCTCTGTTATAAGAAGGTAAGATGAAAAATAAAGGATCAAATACTTGTTTCAAACAAGATTTAAAAATGGAAGATATTGCCAGACTTCTGGTAGATTAATTCATAAAGTTGTAGCATTGAAGCATGACTTATGTAATAAAGAGGTACTAAACATTATATTAAGTCATCTGTGATCTGTTATGTTCCAATAGCTGTAAGATATTCATGGAGCTTTTGTTATAGAATGGATCAAAGGTCTGAATGGTCGCCACATCATGACCACCATTTTGGATTCAGATTCAGGTTCTGTAACAAAAGTTGTATTTCAGTATTATTTTGTCAAGTTTGGGTTAAGTTTACAATAAAAATTGCTTATACAAAGTGAAAAGTTCTTTCATAAATGCTGGCTTTCTCAGTGAATTATGGTATCAGGATTTTAAAAATTGAATATAATATATATGTAGATCTCGGAATAAAATATTCTTTCTCCCCAGGGTAAAACTATAGTCAAAGGGAGATAATTAGCAAATATATCATGTATCAACATATTTATATCTGAAAGTACACTATGTATAGTGTATTACAATGAATTTATAATTGAGATTTAAAGGAAATTTATATTGTGTTATTTAAAATCTAGCATTGTAGAAGAGTATTGGCTTGTATTTAGGGATATAATGAAGCCATAGTTTGGAATTCAAGAAAATATTAAATGTAATAAAGAGGCAGAAAGAGAAATGGCAAAGCAGTGATGATATAAGGGTTTTGTATATCCCAAGTGATTCCAAGTAATATATTTGAATGGAAAACAAGTTGAAAGCTTTAAAAACTTAATTGAAACAAACTTAATGATTTTGTAAGTACAAAGAATGATTTGAGAATACAAAGTCTCAAGTTAAAGGGTATCACCATGTTGAGACTGCATATTTGCAAATCACAGGGGATTGCCATGGATAACAACTGATCATTTCTTGTTTAATGCGTGAGATTTTGACTTAGGATCTGATATTGATGAATGAAATTTGGATTCTCTTGTTCAGTAGTTCTCTTATATTACATGGGACCTCAATTGTACAACATTCTTACTGAAGGAGTCAACAAACCTTCTATACTTCTAGGTGAAAATCAATAGTTGGTTCCCGTCATAATAGATTTTTTTAGCAATGGTTGTATTTGCTTTGAACTGTGAACTTTAAATAGATGTGAACTGGACATATCTTTTTGATCATATTGATCATTTCATTCATTTTCTTTAACCTGCATGTTTGTTTCTAATACAATTGAAAGAGATTTTTCATCTAGATGATTTAGAAAAGCTAGGATGTATAAAAACTGAAGTTTGATGTATTGTAGACATATGATAAAAAATGTAAGGACACATATGTGTGTACAAAACCATGGAATGAAATAAAGCCAGATTGAATATATACAGATACTGAATCAAGTTGTTCCTGTGTGCTTTGCCATCTATATAATTTTTTGCTAAATCAGAAGTGGGGGGGGGGGGGGGGACAGATTTCTGGGGCCGAATTAGCTGTGGTAAAATTGTTTAATTCTTGTATGAAATCTGAGAAAATGTACACATTTCTAGGATTTATATTTTTTAACATTAGTGTCTGTTTCTAGTTCTCTATGAATCTGTAAAACCAGTGATGAAAATGAAATGTCCAAGAGCAGAAAACTCTCCAATTTACAAAGGTCCAAAAGTTCTGTGGATGTTTGTAATTCATCTATAAGGTTTCAGTATATGCTCTTGTCTATTGTGCTGGTCATCCTCTAGAAGCTACAATCACCTTCGCTCTCTGCACATTCTGGTATGTTTCATGGCAAAAATAATGGCACAAGCTAAGTATTTTGATTTGTCTAGAGTGGGTTTCACAACAAACTGACCAATCACAGACTGATATGCTTCTTTGAAGATTACAAAGAATGACACCCAATTTCAAAACCAGTACAACAAACCCTTATGTAACTATGAAATTGGATTGATGTATGTCAAAGGATCACTCTAATCTTCTCATCTTATCCACAAGGTGTTGCACATGGAACCTTCAATTTTGCCATGAAGTGTTCCATAGATGTAGAGAGTGTTAGTGAGTGTAACCCCTGGAGGATAGAGGACGGTTGCGGATATGTCCGCTACTAGTTTGAATTATTCTGACATATTTCCATGTATGCTATGAAAGTGAAAATGACAATTACTGTTTGACTGCCGACCCATGCCAGGGTCGCTTGTTTCCTCACTTTTTATAGGGATGGAGTTATGACTTTTAACAACTCCAGGCCAATATATAAAAAGTCTATAGAACGTCAAAATAATTCAGACTAGTCTGCTACCAGCACAATAGGCAAAGGAATACAGAAAATGTACAACAACTATCTGAGTCTGTGACATTTGAACAACATTCATGAAAGTTCTTAAAAGTTAACATGTGAAAGCTGTATCAACAATAATTGTATAAGATAAACAGAAGCTGGTTCCTGTACTGTTCAAAATGGGTTGACATTCTGTAACCGATGCATATAATGCATTAAAACCTTGTCAACTATGAAGTATCATTCATCATCTCCAATATGCTGGATTCTGATATATTCTTAAGTAACATCTAAGTTGGGAAAATCTATAAAGTATGTAAGTCTGACAGAGAAAAGGACAAATAATATTTTAACAACACACTGCATATGTGCAAAGAAGTCTTCAATAGGTTTCGATTGAATTTCTTTAGAAATTAACATCAGTTGAAAGTTTTGATGTATATTATATGTTTACCATGGTCCCTTGTGCCTTTATAATTTTGAGACTGATAATGGAAACAACCGGTCTATAGGCAGCCATCTTGGATTTTGACAGTTTGCCTCGGACTTGGAAATTAATCTAAAGCATTGGCACCAATGTTTATTTATAATGTCAGTGACCTTGACATCAAGACCTGAAAAAGCAATCTCTAAAAAAGCACTGGATGAAATTGTGACAAAATAAGCTGTAAAAACAACTGGTGGGATAACTGACGGACAGACTAAGAAAGTATAAGTAACTGAATTTATTATATGAACATCTTGGAAATTTGGCACTCAATATGATACAAGTATATTGCCTCAGTTGTCTCTGTTTGTTCACGTATATCCAGTATAGCCCAGATATAGCACGAGTGAAGTACCTTTATTCTATGGTCTATTTAAACCTTAACGAGCTACGGGCAAATGAGTCGCAGCAGAGACATTTTCAAATTTCCAATCTTTTAAACCCGATATATAGAGATTATTTCTTCTTAACCTCACCAAGAACTTCGGCAGACATGCCGCATATCAGAATGACAATAACAGCACGTGTCTGCACTCCACAAGGTCACGATATTGTTCAATAGAAACACCAAACCAACAAAATGATGTCAATAATGTACCCGCACTCTACAAGGTCATAAGTCTGTTTAATGTCAGCAAAGATGAGCACACATTTGAACTAAGATGAAGTAATATGAACAAGAAGTGGTAATCAAAGAAAAAGCTTAGTTCAATAAGCATATCCTACCTTGTCGGCCTCGTTCTGACAGACACTAATGACATCTTCTCTTAGCAGTATTAAGACTAATTATGAACTTGATATGAGGACACCTAACTATAGCAGCATAATGTGAATGTACTGTTCTGGTTTGGATTCATTGATTCTGAAAATGTTTGCCTCTTTCTAAGGGATATAAATGACTCCTATTGCCTCGGTCAGTCAAATGACCACCGTCATCCTCATAGCATGAAAAGGCTATTTTTTATAGCGTCATACTGAAATCCGAGTACAATCCTTAAATAATTTGATCAATGTAATATGATTCATCATTTTAATTTATTAGTATTATTTTTGTCACGGAAATGAGATTCCCTTTTCACTGGACGACAAATTGACTCTGGTTAGGCCGTTCTGTTCAAAGTATATATTTTGTATTGAACGGGGCACAGGTAGATAATAAACGGAAGACTTTAACGACTCGACGAACACAAACACCAGAAAAGCATCCACCAACCTTCGTAATATGTCCCGGGCAAAATGTCTTTTTATAAATTTATAGGTTGACTGTATTGGGGAGGAAAAGGTACCGCTTGATAGTTGGTGGTTTCCTTAAATGATTGAAACAATGTAGAAATAATGAAATTTGGAAATTGCCACATGTAACACCCCCTTTAATAGAAATTTATAATTTGACATTCATTATCATGTCATTTCTGATAAGAGACGGATCGATGGGGAGCAGGGGATAAAAAGAGGTTGCCGCCGAGGTAAAAAAAAGTCCACTGCCGTGGGGCGTTTAGGAAATAGTATCTATGTCCGGGGCCTGGGTAAACTTTATGATATGGAGCCAAGTGGTACACAGACCATTTTTGGATGGTGTATACAAACATCTTAAAGATGAGCTGTGCACAGATGATGGTTATAATGCGAAAAAAAAATTACTATGCGTTCATTGGAGGGGATATAAATTGCCATCGTATTTAATAGATTTTATTGGAATTACTCAGTATCTCTCTACATATGCAAAATAATATCTGGATCAAAGCTAGACTCGGCAAATTTCGTCGTTTTTCATGGACCCAGAAAAGGGAAAACCAAACCACCAAATAAGTTACGTGGTCAAGTTTGGATAATGCATGGCATGGAATCTCCACATCACTATAATAATGACATGACTGAGTGGAGCAATTGTACGTTCACATATAGAAGGGATTCTGATGTTCTATCACTTTATTCTGGATTTCAGTTTCATCGAAATAACACTACAACAAATATACGTAAACAGTGGAAAGCCAAAGACAGAAATACTGCCTGGATGGTGTCTAACTGTCACACCCCAAGTAAACGAATGCAATACATGAAGAGTCTTAAAAGCTCCACTGATATTCATGTTTACGGTGGCTGTGGTCAATACAGATGCGCCAGATCAAACGAAAACAATTGTATGGAACTTCTTCAAAAGCATTATAGATATTACTTGGTCTTAGAAAACTCTCTGTGTGTTGACTACATTACAGAAAAGGCATTAAAAACCTATACATTCTCTCCCACTACGATCTCAAGAGGTGGGTCTAATTACTCCCTGTTTCTCCCACCCGGTTCTTACCTAGATGCCAAGGACTTTGTAAACGGCCATGCGTTAGGGGAAGCGATGAAGAGATCTTTCGATAATGCATCTGATTTTTTTCATGGACTAAATATTATACTATTAATCCAAATGTAATGTCAACATGGTGTCCTTTATGCAAACATATTCACCATTCTGAAAACTATAAACGAATATATTCAAACGTTAACGCTTGATTGAAAGACCATCCAGGATCAGCAATGTAATACTGTCAACGATTTACGAAGTAAAATGGATGTAATTTGAATGTAAAAAAAATTTTAAAAAATCATATTAAATCAGAATTGAAAATAAATCAAAACATATGATGAAATGATCGTCTATATATACTATAGATATTTACCATAAGGCCTGGTAATCTTTACATCCAGTACCATTGCTTTGAGATTTTCAGCCCACCACATGTAATTCAAATTGCTCAATCGCCACGGCCCGTCTGTCCATAAACAATTTTTTCCTCTATGTTTCGACGGACCTTCTCAATTTGCCATGTAATCACACCCGTTTATGATAACGCATGGCTTCGCATTCTCGCCCTTCACACTTTTGTGAGTTCCAGCGAGGGAGAAAATTCTGTCCGCGATTACAGCAACAATCTTCCTTAGAAATGAGAAAAATGATGTGTCATTTACAATATGTACATACATGTAATACCCATTGCAATATTTCTTGATGTGATTTGTGAATATTGTAACACAAAAAAAGGATAAAACTATTATTTTCCGTTTTATTTCGTTACTTGAAACATACCTCTTTCTATGCTTACGTTCAGTTTCGATCGTGGCGCATGTATTATTGTATGTGCATTGTTGCTGAATATCAATTCAGTTGATGCAAGTATCATGGAAATGTCTTTTTTCAAATCTACATTTAAGTGTCGGTATCAATTTCAAATGATGCATATCATACTGTTCAGATCAGCTCAATAGCAGAAACTGTGGGAAATGTTATTGACCTTGATTATGCGTCCATTGTGAGATTGATTCACCATTGGACACATCCATGATTATTGTCCATCAACTTTCACGGTTGCCGTAAATACCATAGAAAATGTCAGAGGCCGGAAGTTGAGTAAGTGTGCTATAATACAAAAATACGAAATTGTCTTAGACCTATAGATTGCTGGATTAAATGACCATTTTACAAGGTCAAGGGGGTCAAATATGTTTAAATATTTTAACTACTTCCTCTAGCAAAAAAATTGTCAAGGACGCTTATATTGGATCTGTTGCATGACTGGGTGTGAGGATGACATGTTTGTCCAAATCATTGACTTATCAATAACCAAATGGCTCAGGGTGCTGATATTGGGCTTTGTGGCATGCTAGGAAGAAGGGAGTACTACTATGTTAGTATGGTCAATCTTTTTCTTGAGATCACAGGGGTCAAATGTTTTGAAATCTTTAAACGACTCCTTAATAACCAAAAGGACTGGCGCACTGATAATTGGATTTTAGCATGCTGGGATAAAGGGCTACCGAGTTTGTCCAAATGAATGACCTGCATAATTTTTCAAGATCACATGAATCAAATATGTTTAAATCTTTAAACGACTTTTTCAATATTCAAACGGTTCAAGAGTGCTTGAGAGCAAGAGTGCATGACAGTCAATTCGCACTACACACAACCATTGCGAACAACGTGACTGCTAACTGTCTACGGTTGGAATGTTACATTCTGCAGCTCTGAATTTTCAGTCACCTTTTAGTATTATCCTTTACTTTCGTATTTTACTGCACTTCCAGATGCTGTTGTTGACACTGTCAATGCATTAACTACAACGCTATACTATTTCCAAATTAATATTTGCCTTGTTTTATGCAACTGGTATGGTATCTGATATTTTTCCACGCATAAAACATGCCACTATTTCTTTGAATCTTCGCTGGCCATTAATTAGTCGTAGTTATATTTTTCGCGAGTTTGATTTTCAAGACTCTGTGACATAACTTAACCATAGTTTTACTGTTTGACAACACTGAAAATACACAGTATTTGGTTTCCATGAAAGGTGCTATTTTAGCAGGTCGGTATCCATTATGTTCTTTAGCAGGTCGGTATCCATTATGTCCTTTAGCAGGTCGGTATCCATTATGTTCTTTAGCAGATCGGTATCCATTATGTCCTTTAGCAGGTCGGTATCCATTATGTCCTTTAGCAGGTCGGTATCCATTATGTACTTTAGCAGGTCGGTATCCATTATGTCCTTTAGCAGGTCGGTATCCATTATGTTCTTTAGCAGGTCGGTATCCATTATGTTCTTTAGCAGGTCGGTATCCATTATGTACTTTAGCAGGTCGGTATCCATTATGTACTTTAGCAGGTCGGTATCCATTATGTTCTTTAGCAGGTCGGTATCCATTATGTTCTTTAGCAGGTCGGTATCCATTATGTCCTTTAGCAGGTCGGTATCCATTATGTTCTTTTGCAGGTCGGTATCCATTATGTCCTTTAACAGGTCGTTATCCATTGTGTTCATACTGCTTGGAATGACCGTGGACATGGATTGCCATTCTTATTCTTTGGTAATTAAAAACAACTCACAATGGAAACAAACGTGTTATATTACTGTTTCAAGTGAGCTGGAAGATACCTTGCGCATGGCTAAATTTATCAGAAATTCTACATGGATAGCCTGAATGTGTGTATTTTATGTTTCTGTGTCATATATATGATGATATGGAGGCAACTCTATCTCTATACAATAGTATGTTTATTATATTCCGATTGTTTTATACACTCTATGATGTGTACATTCTATGTTATAAGGAAAGGGCGTTAATGATACTTGTGTCCAACCCTTTCGTCTTTTGGTACTGAAATATTTGGGGAATAAGGAATGTTCACTGGGAAAAACCGAGATATAAGACAATTTCTTAACTACTTTATTTAGAATGCATAACAATCTTATACAATCCATGTATTGAATTAATAATAACCCATAAACATCCTTATTAGTTCCATATTACTGACCAGAAGTGTGGACATTGGGTTTATAGAGAGAGCCTATAGTCAGTAGTTCAGTTAATAAATCAGAGGACCATGGCCCTTAATTGTTATCTGAAAATCTATGAATTGATGGACAAACCACATAATTCACTGATGGTGGTCTGACAAATGTGGTGAACTTGAACTTTGAACATTACTTGAAAATATCAGGAACTCATAAATGGTTGGTTCTGTGCATCAAAAACAGTTACACCATCATGTTACAAAATAACTACTGTGGTCAACATGTTGAAGTTTTGATAAGAATGAATAGAAACAATAAACCATATCTTTTTTAAAAATATCAAACTCCAGTTATTTTTCTCGTTGGTTTGACTGAAACATGAGAAGTTCGGACTATTTGTTCTAGATGAATTATGTTGGATTTTGGATCAAAGCATAAAAATAAGATTTTGTCAGGACAATCTTGGGATCACTCGCACATGTTTGATGTCATTGACACTCCCCGATGTTTCGGGCCAAATGTTGGTTGAAATCTACCCATTTTGGAGCCCATCCCATTGGGCCCTTAGGGTTGAATCAACTTTCTAAATTTAATAATTATTTGCTAACTCCTACTGATATTGCAGACAAAATTCGAATGGAATCCACTCAAGCATTTTTAAGTGAAGTATTGTCTAACTTCCCTTTGTGGGCAAAAACCCCAGATGTCAAATCAAATTTCAGAATTTAAGAAATTATCCCCCACCCCAAATAATGTTTCAGACCTTATGCAGTTGAAATCTGCCTAGGTATTAAGCAGGAGTTGTACTTTAAAGGAAAAGTTTACGCATGGCAATTGGCAATTTACAATAGCAATAGGTCATCTGTACCCTTTGGGTAAATGTGAATTTTTAAGTATTGTCTGAATATAATTGTAGTCACTATAATGATAAGATGCTCTTCTGATTAATTTTCCACGAAACCTAGGTAATTTGCAATCACCAATAATAATCACATTCTGGAAACATTTACTTCACAAATTCCTTACAAAATTCTGTTTCAAATTAAATAGAATGCTATAAATTTCCAGGTATAGTGCACACTTTTTTAGGTTAAAGAGAGGGTGCATACTATACACAGGAATGTGCCATTCTTGGTGTTATTCTCAAGTCCTCTGGTCCGCCATATAGGACTACCCCCTTCACCTAGTTAGAGGCATCGGTCATATATGATAGACTAAAGATAAAAACAACAAAGAATAAAACAAATTTTGAATGTTTTAATTATTTATATAAAGCTACGTAACAAAAAGTTTGTGATAATACGACAGATTTTAACAGAACAGGTTCCATAGTACTTACGACTAACACGAATGGAACAGTAGACCGATAAATCCATAGAGCACTAAGTAACTATAAGCAGTTCATAGTTCTGAAATCACTTTACACCAATCCCAAACACAGCCAATGATCACTAAACAACAATCCTTCAATTCATCATCATCGTCAATGTTAAAGAAGGATGCAGCATTAAAGTCTGCCTCTATAGTATTCTCATTGTCATGTTAAAAGAGGTCGTCATCCATCATCCTCCAAGTCAACATCAGTGGTGGGTCCACTAACATGGGTCATCTGTTCACAGAATTCCCATCTCATTGATGCTTTGAAAGTGGTGATCTTATGACCTCTCTGAATCTGCATCTGTAAAACAATTTCATCTCGCATTCATTTATTAGATATTTGACTAAAAAGTATTTTTATCTTAAGAACATAAATCAAATAAACTTCTATCATATATGACGGTAAAATGGACATTTCTTCTTTCATTTTTTATGTTGGGAAGCCTTAAGAAAATTTCTAATAAGCTACGGTATTCCTTTATGCATGTACAGACATATGCAAACGAGTCAAGTATTGACCACCCTGCAAAAGATACCAGTATTCCTGCCAATGTTCTAGAGGTAGGCTATCAATGGTTTCCTGTACTTTATCTATTAAATACAAATGAATACAATAAACAATAATAAGAAAACTATGTACATGTGTATATCATATGTTTATATTAAGATAAAAAGAGGTATTACCCTGCATCATTTGAACTCATGATTGAGAGTGTGGAATGAATGACAAATCCCAAATTTTCACAATAATTTATAGCCCCTTTTTACCCTTCCACTCAAATGTTGACATTTTCACTCAAATAAAATAACAACTCACGGGCAAAAAGTAAACATGAGATGTTTTATTTCAATGGTTGTTTGATCGCATAGTTCTTGGTAAAATGAGATATTTACCTGTGCACCTGTATAAACAAAAGGATTAGGTGGATCGATACCCTAACATTACATTGTGCATATAGGTAACCGTTACGGCTGACCGATCACACTCGTTACTTTGTGTATTGTGGTTGTGTATTTACTTTTAGACTTCGATGGAGAATATTTGTCTCAACGATACAAATGCTATAAATGTGAGCAAAATATGTGTACATGTATTTTTTTAAGTATTGTTTGCACGAAGTACCCAGTGTAACGTGTTTCTTTTGTGCAATCTTGTAAGCATAATCCACGTGTTTGTGACAATGATCATTACAGTAAGTGTCATTAACCTACGATTTATTTGTATTTTAATAAAAAAATAATTGTTATTATAAATATAGATGTTGTCTTGTTCTTTTCATTAACACCTTGCTATCAGACACGATCGGCGAAAATAGGGTCAGTTTAAATATACGATGTCTCGATTACAGACGATAGACAAAAACACTGTTGAGTCGAACCATCGGATAAGTCGAATATTTTACTTGGTCCCATCGACTTCGACTTATCCGAGGTTTACTGTATTTAAATATAGTAAATTAGTTTTTAAACATGTAGGATTTTGTTTTGATAATCTGTGGAATCCTTATGTATGCTGCATTTGTTCAAATGCACAATATGTGCATTCTATCAGATCATCAGCACACGAATTATGACAGGCTAGTGTGAATCGGATGTGGGATAAATATAATTGTACATTAAGCTCTATTTGATTCATGTATGCTGAAGATGACCCGGTGGCCATAAAATTCACAACTTTGGTAAGCACTTTAAGATGCTTCCAGTTATGAAGAATGCTTGATTCTTCAATACCTGGTTGTTGAGAAGAAGACTTTTTAAATATGAGTCAGTTTGACCCCACCCTTAAAGACCCTGTGGGGTGGGGACTGTATAATTCACATTTTTGGTTCATCCTAGGCCAAGGTGATTGCAATAAGACACCAGGAGACTTTGTCTCAGACGGCCCAATAATTAATTGTCAAATTCAAGGTGATCACTTTTCAGCCATTTTGTTTTTTTGATCAGTACAAAATTCAAACAGCCTAACTACGGACCAAAGGAAAAGATATAAGTAAGAGAAATATTCCTGCATTACTTAAAGAAATGATAGCAAGGATTGTATATGGATGAACAGATCTGAGATGAAGGGCAATTTGAGCAGCTCACCATCTAATGATGGGCTAGAAATGTCTAAATGTTCACACCCCTGAAGCCTGAGGAACATCATTTAGACAACATCATAAAATATGACAACACAGTATCTGCAAGGACTTTATCATATTTCCTACAAGCAACATACTTTAATACTTCAACTGTGTGCTACGCAAATCATACTGAAGACTGGAACTTGTTTTAGCTGGATCCTAACAGCTGTCCATCGGTGTAACTGGTGTACTGACGACCATGATGATGGGATCAAAATAGAGTAATTTGATTTTTGAATTAGGAAATCGTGCAATAATAATAGCCCTCTGACAGCCATTTTGTATAACTGATGAGATAAAATAAATGATTTATGATGTATTCTATAAATCTTCAATGAAATGAAAGCTAATTAAGGTTTTGTTTATCATACCATTAACTTGCTTATTTTGCAAGTATAAATGAAAACTTTCACAATAAAATATTTTTGCTCTTTTGCCAATATTCTGTTTTAATTGACAGAAAAACACAAAAAAAATCAGAATAACATACCGGTATGTACATAGAGAGAATTCAAGCTCCATGTAGATCTGAATTATGGGAAAAAACTTTAAAATGCCACTGTTAATGGCATAATTATTAAAGTCTAAATAATAAGAAATTGTAGGTGAAAATCAGAATCTGAAATGTGTATTTAGATGGTTAAGTAGATTGTTTCCTTATTACAGATTATATACTTGGTTAGAAATCAAGCTCAATGTGGAGTTAAACAATTAACTCTAAACATGACACAAGTTATCAATTGAAGTCCAGTTAACAGTAGTAAACTGCAGGTGAAAATAAGAATTTAAAATGTGTGTTGGAATGGCCATATAGAGATATAAAAACATTCCAAATTTGGTTTATGATGACAACTTATGAAGTTCCAAGCTAACCAGAAATTTAACATGCTGCAATAAATCACTAAATTCAAGTTCACTTTAAACTGCTTTTAACTAAAAGGTACAGAGATTATTTTATGTATCCGAATATGCACTAAAAAGATTTCATATAAAATAAATTTAGAAACATATTGATCA